TTTAAAATAAATGAAGTTTATTATTTTTTTCCTACCACATACAATTTTTAGTATACAGTTGTTTTTTTTTTTTTTTAACTACTAAGGCCCATCCTCTTCCTAAAATGTTGAGCTATGTATCTCCTTTTTTTTCTAATTTACTTGTAAGTTGGAAGCTTAAAACTAATTAGATTTGTAAGAAAGATTGCTATTGATCTGATAATGTGCACACATTTATACAGTCAATAAGATCACCTGCTGAGCAGGAGGCACCTCACTGGAACGCTGTGTTTTATAGCATTCTGTGAGATACTCTCTGGTACTCTATGTAGGATGTCCTTGTTTCACCTTGTGTGAGAGTATAAACATTGTTAAAGAAAATTACAGTATACCGTTTTATTATTTATCAATTCCACATTATAGGGCATGCTGTCACATGAGGCATTATGATGCATTTTGTGCAGTTTTCAATGTCGGCAAAGGTGAGGAACTTGGCATTAGTTGTATGTTGGTATGTCAAAAAAAGGTCATGTATGTTGCCTTTTTGGTACACTGACCTGCTTTTTGTCATCCAAGTCAACTGAATGAACGCAATGAAGAACACAATGACACAGATGTACTCAAAGATTAGTGCATTTTCACTTTCAATGGGAGTTTTCACTAATCTTGGTGGATGAGGGGAGACAAAGTGAAAAATTCACCTTGGGGAGGATATCATGTCAAATTAAAAAAACAGGATTTTTTTGCTTGCACATTATTGGGTGATTGAAGTCAGCACAATTTCACCTAATTCACTTTACAAAGAGTGAAAGTGGTGAAGTGATGCCGACTTCAATCATCTAATCATGTGAAAGCAACAATTATTTTTGTTTTTTCTTTACACATGATTGGGTATTCTTTGCAATACAAATTTGCACTTTGTTTTGCCTTACTCGCCAAGATAGGTGTAAATTCACCTTGCAGGGTGAAAATTCTCTTGAACGTGCTCTGTTCCTTTAGAAAATCAACCCACCGTGTCTGAAACGCACATTAACTCAATGACCTTAATTTACCAATAATAGCACGGAGGATTTTCACTTTGAAAGTGAATTGTACTTCTCATAAGGTGACACAAAATGAAAATTAACATTGCAACAAATATACAATCATTTGCAAGGAAGTTGCTAATTGGTCACTGGATTTGCCTTCAGTGCTGTTTTAATTTGTTTACAGTCCTTGGAGCATTACATCTAGCTAAGGTTATCTCCCTTAGTGAAACTCTTCAAGAATTAAAAGAAAATGGCACAAGATTGTTGGTTTGAGAAACCTTACTAGAGAGCATTATGTTTTTGCCTTGTTCAGTAGTTAATTGTGTGTGATAACCCAGTATTACCAAATTGATCTAAGCAAATTTGGGTGTACTTTAAATTTCACCTGATGTTTGATTAATTTTTAGTTGCCTTGAGTGACTGCTCTTATCAAATTACTTTGTGCCTTATTAAATAATAAACTATACGGAATATGACTATAGGTGACATTTGCATCTGTAATGAAGCAGAAACTGCAGTCTTTTCCACTCGGTCAGTCCCAGTATTTTGGGCTATTGTACGGATTATGGAAAATGACCAGGGCCAGCAAAGTCATTGTGAAATTAGTACAGCAAGCACAATCTACAAACAACAATGTATGCCTATCACTCTTAGGCACAGGTCACTGCTCAGAGTAAATGACTAGACATTTTTATAATAACACTGGGCAGACTTCATATAAATCTATTAAAAGGCAGAATAAATTGGAGAGACCTTTTTAAAGGCGAGTCAGTTTTGCTGAATGATTGCACCCTTAAGTGTAATCTTGCAGTAAATAAATAACACTATCCCAGTCCCAAGGCCCCGGAGAAGTAATATACTGTGCTGGTACAGTAAGTACAGACAGGAGTAATCGATCTTTCTTCAAACTTGACCTGATTGTTTTTTTATACAACTTGTTTTTTTTTTCTCAGCCTTTTTGCAGTGCTGCAGTGAGGAAACTGCTCCGGTGATTATCTTTGTTTCGAAAATGTTTGCGGTCGATGGAAAAGCTTTACCCCAGAACAAGCAAAGGTACAGTAACATTCTGTAATGTAAAACAATTGTGTGATGTTGGGATGGGTGAATGCTGTTAAGATGGCACCAGGCTGTTTACTGTACAGAAGCTTGATTTGAGTCACTGTACCACTTGCCTGCCATGTAGCAGGGTAGACCCTACTGAGTTTACCCTTACCTAATTGTTGCCAATAGCAGAGCCTTATTGTCATCATCGAATGCCAACTCTCCAAATTTCAGAGCTTTCATGCACTGTGCTTTATGTCTTATTCGGTTTCATATGTATATCATATATATCATTCTTAGGGGACACATGTTATTACCTATAGCAACCAATATGATTTCTGTATTCATTCTTAAACCTAAACCGAGACATTTCTAAACCTAAAACTGACTGCTGGAGCTGATGATCATACTTCATGTACCAGACCCTGAAGAAGAATTATTTGTAATATTCAACATCAGTCAGGTTTTAAACTTTTGATATTGTGATTTTATTTGTATTGTAGATTTAAATAATATTGGTTGCTATATGGCACTGTGGTAGTGTATGTGGATTATTTTATTTTCAATATCCTCTGATAAATAGGGCTTAGTATATGAAAATCTGAATGTATCCCTCAGAGTATGCCTTTTTACACCTCATCATAGATGTCTGATGGTGGTCAAATGTGTAGCCACAATCTAAATACTCAGAATTTTCTTGTGAAAGGTCCAACTATAAACATGTTGATATCTGTGTGAGAGGGAAGGGAATAGGAGGGCTTCCACTACAGAGCCGACTCCAAGAAACTTAAATAGATCGGTCCTTACGGATTAATGCCATTTGTATTGTTTATAGAATAAGCCTGAAAGTACATTGTACTAAAGTTTATCTGCAGAAGATACCATAGGAAGATGTTTATATGTCTTAAAGTTACCAGCACAACACTAGATAACTATACGGCTACTGTATAGAGGATGTTACACAATTGAATTGCAAAATATACTATGTTTAAAAGTACAAAAATCTTAAAGATTAAATCCCCCCCGGTTTATTGCTCAAATTTCTACTGTTTTTACTGAACATAGGTTGAAAAAAAGACACAGTCCATGTAGTTCAACCTATAGAGAGAAAATAAACACAAGAGGAATAGAAAAACCTCCATAATTAGAACTCTATGCTCACAGTTAAGGAAAACTCTCATTCATTCCTTTGGCGAGGCCATCTATAGTTGGAACGCATTCAAGTTGGTGTTCTCTGGAAACCAGTCTGTCATAAGCTCTGACCTCCGCAAGAATTAAGCTCTTAAATCCCAATTGAACCTTCCGTTAATTTCAGCTAAATACATTCCAGGCAAATCAAAACAAAGGGTGTGCAAAGTCTTACAGTATAGCCACAGTCTCACTAGATAAGCTAGTTCCCTACCAGCGGAGTGGGATCCTTGTTCTGTGTGGAGAAGCACTGGTCTCATTGCAGAGGTCCATTTCCCCCTACTGAGTCAGAGCTATAGCTCTGTAATCAATAAAGTGTATGCTCCATTCTGATTCAAGAGCACGGCAAAGCATATGTTGTACCTCTGTAAAGAGACCACTCCATCTCCATAGCGAGCCAGGGTCCAACTTAATATATGGGGACAGGCTTTTCTACTCTGGCTGTGGCAGATCTTAAAGAAACCAACTTTAAGACTTTGCAAACCTTTTGTTTTGATGCACCTGGAATAAACGCATTTAGCTAATTTAAAAAAAAAACTTACAAGTACATGTTCAGATTTACAGTTTTTCTGTGCATAGACAGATTATTTTTTTGGAAATACATATTGTTTGTTTTCTCGTGTGAATTGTGAAACAATTCTATAAATATTGTGAATGGTGTTATTTATGGGATGATTTCATGAATAATGATAATTTTATGAATCTGTAAAGCATTCTAAAATATATGAAGATTGCCTTTTCCCAGAAACATCGGCTATATCAGCTGAATAATTTACCTGATTATCAATATACTGTATATAATAGAGCGCATTGTGGAAACACTAGAATAAAAAAGCCAGTTTGTCCTTTTCAGTGGGGTTTTAGCATTTTTGGTATAATGGAACATTTTTTTTAATTCAGTATTTTTTACCATGTACAAAAACTTGTTGAAGTGAAGATTTATGGAAAGCTGTCATATTTTCAGTTGTAGTTTGTGTTGCATAGAGAACAAAATACCAAACATCTGAGTTTGGTTGAAAGAGCATACTCCCAAATACAATGAAAAGATTTCATTGAAAGTAAAGTAAGAACTATGCCAAACTACTGCATGCATTGCCTACACTAAACTAAATTTTCATGAGGTAGACAATCACTACAGCCTTAGATATTATAAATAATGTCTGGAATGTATTGTTTTTTACAAAATTGTTGTTTTATGGATCAGTTGAAAGAGGTTTAAAACACTTGAAGCAGCCACATAATGTAAAAAAATGATCTGCAATACATGCAGATCCTCATGAAAATTCTTGCAAATGTTCTAAGCTACATAAGTGTTTGGCTACAAATCTCTAGTGCAATATTATTCAAATAGGCATTGTCTTGGTCATAGGACTATAATACCGTCTTGTCATGGTTTAACACTTGTATTACCAGTAATGTGACAGAGCCTTTTCCAGCTATATCTAAACCCATGCCAGCACTTCTCTCCCCCTCCCCAAGCTATGTAATAATGGTTTGCTAAGCCTCTGAAAGCATTTACAATGAAACATAAGTGCTGTAAATAATTTAATGAACAGTCATAAAGGTCAGGATGCTTCTTGAAATAACAGTGTTCAAATTGCTTTTACATCAGAAAGGACTTATGGGTAATCATGGGCAAATAAATGGTGCTTAAGCTAGTGTTAACTCCTTTATGCCCCTGTTTTAGTCTGAGTCTATGGTAGGAGATTGCTTTGCCAGCAGGTCCTATCCAATTTAGCTTATTCTTATACTGTAATTTAAATACATTGAAAAAAGGTATGTTAACATCCAAATTATGTGTAAAGTAAAAATGACGAGCAGCTTGCCCATTTTTTTTTTTTTTTTTTTAACAGCAACAGAGATGCATGTAGGAGGACAGTACACTACTAGAGTAAAAACATGTCTGTGCTACATACATTTGTAGACCTATTTAAATGCCATACACTGTGAAGTGACATAGCGTGTATAATAATGTAACGTAATTTCAGGTGTAAAAGAATGCTCAGACCCTAATCTGATACACTGCTCAAGCTCATATGTTGCCCCTGCACTGATCCATCGCTGTGCATTTTAGAAATCCTCCTTATTAGGACTCGGATGACAGCAGAATGCAAATATTGGCACAAGTGTCTCCTCCAGCAATAATTTATTGAAAGGTCATCTCATCTAAGCAGTAGTATTAGTTTATGTGTTTAAAGGTGCCCATACACCTTACAATTATCTGCAGATTTTCTGTGGTCAGATGGAAAAAGTGCAACAGATTGGCCCAGGTGGAGATTACTCCACCCACACAGTTAAGTGTAGATGGAGGAATCTGTTGCACCTTTTCCATCTGACCACAGAAAATCTGCAGATAATTGTAAGGTGTATGGCCAGCTTTAGCCTAAACCGCCTTAGAAATTTCCTAACTGGCTGACTAAGGCCGTTTGGGTTGAAACATATAACCTATTAAGCCCCATTCACGCCTGTGAATGGGCTGGATTGTTCTTCCTTCATGAGACAGTCTTCCCCCAGTTGCCTCTGTCTGCTGGTAATTGCAGGCTGTGCGATACAGCCCCATTTGCAGATGTGAATAGGGCCTTGCTACTGTTTTTTTCTACAAGATGACCTTTGAATAAATTATTTCTGAATGAGACATCTGTGCTCGTATTTGTTTTCTGCAAGTACAATATTGCTTATCCTGCAGCTAATTGGTTGGCAGATGTCATCTTCATGTCCTTCTTGTGTGAATCATAGTTGAAGCACTCATACATTGATCGTATGCGCAGACAGTTCTTTCTCGGATCATATTTGTTGGGGGATTTATTTATTACAGTTATTTATATAGCGCCGACAATTTACACAGCGCTTTTACCTAGCGTACATTCACATCAGTCCCTGCCCTCATGGAGCTTACAATCTAAGGTCCCTATCTCGCATGCATACATACAGGGACGATTTAGACAGGAGCCAATTAACCTTCCAGCATATCTTTTGGAGTGTGGGAGGAAACCGGAGTACCCGGAGGAAACTCACGCAAGCACAGGGAGAACATGCAAACTCCTTGCAGATAGTGACCTGGCCGGGATTCTGCAAGGCAGAAGCGCTAACCACTACGCCACTGTGCCGCCTGGTACCGATTTTGGCTGCCAGAGCCATTTTTGATTGGATGAGGTAAAGCTTTACTGAGAAGCTTCTGAGATCAATAATGCAATAATCAGAACAATGGAAGGAATAAAAACTGTTGCTTTCCAACTGTGCGCGATTGTATACTTTTCAAAATAAGAGTTCTGCGTAAGAACAGACACCATCAGCTTTTATATATCACCAAAAACCAGATACATTTTGGCCTACATTGACAAAAAAGCAGCATCTATTCCTAACTTATTTAACTCCTTCATGACTGAGCTGTTTTTCAGTTTCTGATTGTAAATGACTGAAGCACTTTTTAAATTTTTGCTGTGTGATTCTTCCACGGCAGTAATATACTTTATTACAAAGTGCACCCACACATATTATATATTGTTTTTTAGAGGACAGATAGGGCTATATATTTATATCACATATGTGTGCCTAACGCCTCACTTAGTATGAATAACATATAAAAAAAAGAGGAAAAAATGTAAAGAAAACACCTTTTCCCTAGTTATGATTATTATTATTTTTTTTTCCAAATAGCACAGCTAAAAAAACGCATTCTAATAAATTAATTTATTTGTCCTCTATTTGGAAACACCTCGTATCTCTAGGATTTCAGAAATGTTTCTGTACTTTTCAGCCTAAAACTAAAAGCTAACATTTTATTTTCTTTCTCTAAAAACTAATAATGGTTAGTTTAAGTGGCC